TTTCTTGGCAAAGATACTGGAGTGGTTTGCCATTTCTTTCTCCAGCTCATTTTTACAGATGAGGGAAATTGAGGCACAGAGAGGTTAAGTGATTTGCCCAGGGTCACACAGCTAGAAAGTGTCTGAGGCTGGATTTGAACTCAGGTCTTCCAGACTCCGGGAAGCATTTTATAGATGAAGAAACTGAGGCCAAGTGAGGCTGAGTGGCTTGCCTAGAGTTATACAACCAATAAGTGGTGGAATCAAGGCTATCTTCCTTACATCCTGCTGCTGGGGATACAGAAAGATAGAAGTTGTGGTTCCTTTCTTCAGGGAGCTCAACACATGAAACAGTTGTGAATAGAGTGCTGGACTTGGCATTAGGAAGATGTAAGTTCAAATCTTGCTTCAGACACTAGCTTGTGACCCTGGGCAAGTCACTTAATTTCTCTGTGCCTGAGTTTCCTCATCTTTAAAAGGAACCACAACTTATACTCTCTGTATCCCCCAGCAGCAGAATGTAAGGAAATAGCCCTGACTCCACTATTTATTAGTTATATGACTCTAGGTAAGTCACTCAGCCTCACTTGGCCTCGGTTTACTTCAAATAATCCCATCCATGCCTTTTCATCCTTTGTGATCCTTGGCCATGTTCTTCCACATAAAATAGCAGCTACCTTACAGGGTTGTTTTGAGGATCAAACGTGATAGTAAACATAAGCACTTTGTAGACCTTGAAGTGCTCTAAATGCTAGTTATTATTGCGTAAGGCAATGGTGCCAAACTCAAATAAAAATGGGTTTGTTTGCCACACATTGACTTAGAAAACCATTAATTTGCCTTATCTATATGTTATTATATTTTTATTTATTTTATTAACCATTTTCCAAATTACATTTTAATCTGTTTGCTGCCACTTGAGAGTTTTGCAGGTCTCAAGTTTGGCACCTTCTGGTGTAAGGCAGTCTGTGATTAGGTGGTAAGATGTGTGAGGTTGATAGGTGCTAGAAGATTTCAGAAAAAAAGAGGATGTCAATGTGGGAAAAATTGTATAGAAGATTTGGAATTTAAGGACACATAGTTCATGTATTAAGAGATGGCAAGTACTTTAGGGATCATCTTACATCCTGTCTATACCTTCATTTTAGATACGAGGAAACTAAGGGCCAGAAATGGTCGATGTTTTGGCCAAGGAAGTACTTAGGTGGTAAACATCAGCATTAGGATTTGAACCCAAATCTTCTGACTCCGCACTCAAAGTTTCTCCCACTGCCTATGACTGAGAAAAGTAGGAAGGATATTCTAGCCAGAGAATAACTGAGTCTGTGTAGCCCTCTGAACACTTTGCCCAGGAGGTACGCGTCATTAGGCACTTCCCTGTTCCACTTAACACTAGCCACAAGTGACTAAGTACTTTTTGATGCCCAGACATGTGATCCCATCACAACTCAGATCACAGTCCGTCCATGACTCCTCATTCTGTTTGACTCTTGTCCTCATTCTCCCAGAACCGGGATTCACTCAACATGCTTCCACCCAGCATTGCAAGGATGCCAACATGAGCTGTTTCCTGGTTATCACCCTCTTGCCGTTTGACCAGCCCATTTTCTCTTTCTATCATATATCTCCTTGATGGCATCCTTTACTCTAGATGTTATCCATAGTTCCTTACTTGTTATAGGTTGTAGCCTGCTTTCACCCACCACACACTTCTCCATTCATTTCCAAGTGGGACCCATTTTTAATTTTCAGAAGCTGTCTTGTTCCATGACTCAATCATACATCTGCATTGGTAGAACATGGGCATTAAAAATATGGCACTTTTGTTTCTGGGAGATGCTTGGGTCATTAAAAGGAACTTTGCAATTTTTTCAGAAATATTCTAACCCATGCTTCTCTCTCAGCTTAGATCTGGGCCTAGGTCATTATACATCTGCACTATTTATATACGTACACTGGTAGATGAGCTCTGTAGATTGTCTATCTAACAGCATGTTGTATTCTGGACAATAAGCATTCTTTTTCCATTTGTTTTTTCTGGTGTAGATGGTTAGGCCAAACTCTTTTTTAAATGGTTATAGATTTCTTCCATTAGGCTCTACAGTTTTAACATCAGTGGTCTTGCATCTTTAGACAGGAATATCTGGAGAATCTCATCAGCCATATAGAATCTTTCTTTGACCTGAATCCACCCTGGATCTCCTCCATGACACTCATTTGGCAAGGAAACACATTCATGTTTTATGGAGTTGAACCCAGGTCTTCCTGACTCCTAATGTTTCCTAGTGTTAATGGTCAGAGGATTGTGCAAAAAGGTTATCTCTGTTGCTCCATCTTTCAGAATCATGAATAATTTTGATATGTGAATCAGAGACACCTTATTGGAAGAGGGAATTTTTGGTGGTATGTTCTACAAGACTCAAGTATTTTTTTATAATCAATGAACAGTAATCCCAGTGATTATCCTGTACTCTCTATATCTTTCCTTCAGTTGTGTATTGGTAGTTATGTGGTTTCCTGTGGAATGTCACTTGTGAAGGTCTGCCTGTTACCTACTGGTACTTGTATTGAAGATACCCTCCATGTATGTGGATTATGCTTTCTCTCCTTTGTATCTCTTGTGAACTGATCGCTCAGCACCTTCGCAACAGTGTCTAGTTCTGACACAGAGTTCTTCTATGTACATTTGATCTGATCCAGCCGCTTTTCTCACTTTGTTCTCTTCCATATATTTTTACCTCCTCTCTAGTCACATCTGAGACTTTGACCTTAGAGTCCTAGCGTTGTTACTTTAATGTCCTAGGTGGTGAAAAAAGTTTGTTACATCACACAATCTTTGTAAGCCTTTTCCATTTTTCTTCTGTTAAATGCTCTCAGGCCAACTTAGGTTAGTTGAGTTTCCCACCAAGTTTTCTTTAAACTGTTTTTTACATTCCACTGATGAAGCAACATTAGCTTATAATCTTCCATCATCCTTCTCCATGAGAGTTTACAAATGAGTTTATGCTCCAAGCCAGTGTTTTCTTATCTTACCCCTCACCAGTGAGTCAGGCGGCTATCTACTCCCTAAGGTGGGTTTCAGGCTATTTCATCTCCTTGTAATGGCATTGATTTACATTGGTTAAAATCATCTGAAATTATTGTAGTCTTTCCTGTGTCTTTTCTTCATGCATATTCCATTTAATTTGTTCAAAATAGGTCGGGATCTAGTTGTTTTAATTACACTCTATATCTTGGTCTCATCTTTATTCCTTTTTCTAGCATTGTACTCATTTTAGTCCTTACTCTCACAAGTCAGTGGCGTGACTGTACAATTGATTCAGGAATGCCTTTCACATCAGTAATGAGTCATTTCCTCTCTGTTAACATCACACCAAAAAATAAATGGATTGAGTTTTATTTGGTGCTCATTATGTCAAGTGCATTCTAATTATTTTCTCAAAGAAAGTATTCATGTCATGTAAGTAGGAGACATCTGTGAGGAGGGCGATGGTGTTCTCCAAATACTTGATCTTGATCCATATTTTCTTACACATGTATATGTATGTAAGGCATATATTGCCAGCATAGTACACATATAGACAATATATTATATATGTTGCTTTCATCTATTCCCACTTTGTATCAAAGTTACTGAGTATTATAATGTTTGTTGATTTAACTTACCAAGTTCTTTGCAGAAATGCTACCACTTTATTCTCTATAAAAGAAAATAATAGTTGCAATTATTTCCTCAGTACTTAATAAGTGTTTTTTTCATTCCTTCATAATAAAACCAACTCTGCCATATCCTTTGTTTTCCTCTTCTAGGAGAAACTGAGCCAGCCTTCATTTCACTCACAACTTCATTTTTCTTCTGATTTCATTGATATAAATGTGATTGATATATTTCAATTTCTCCTATAATATGTCTCCTTGCTGCTTATTTTTTCAAGGATCTCATATTCAGCATATTAACAACTAAGGTAAAGTTTATAGATGGTCTAGAAACTACAGTTCCTAACACTCTCTCTACCCAAGTTTCTTTTTTTGCCTTTATTTTTAAACTTTTAATTTAACTTTTTAATTAAAAATACCAAAGAAAAGAAAAACAAAACAAAGCTTTTGTAACAAACATGCACAGTCAAGCAAAACAAATAACTGCATTGGCCTTGTCCAGAGTCACCTGTCTGTCAGACATTGAGAAGCATGCTTCATCACGGGTCCTCTGTAATTGTGTTTGGTTGATCAGAGTTCACACATCTTTCAAAGTTGTTTGCCTTTACAATGTTCTCATTAGTCTATAAAGTGTTCTACTGGTTCTATTCCTTCATTCAGTATTAGTTCATACAAATCTCCTCAGGTTTCTCTGAAGCCATCCCTTTCATCATTTCTTACAGAATAACAGTTTTCCAGAGTATTCAGATACCATAATTTGTTCAGTCATTCCTCAATTGATATCTGCCCCCCTTTATCACCCTACCACCATTACTAAGGAAGCAGAAAGGTTTGCCATGGACCTGAAAGCCCTTTTGGATTTTTCTTTGTTTCATGGGTTGCTGTGCTCGAAGAATTCATCCCCAAGTGACCAGCCTACTGGTGAGGAGCATTTCTGTGCTTAACTAGGCTGGTCCTCGAAAAGCAGACTTCGTCTGTTGCCAAGACTGTTCTTGAAACTCTTCCAATGTGGTAGGACCTGCCAGAGCTTGTACTGTGCTGGCATAGCCTTTGGGAACCCAGGGTAACCCCCATTCCATGAGGAAGCACTAGAGGAAGGACTTTTGATATTAAAGGAAAAAAAATCAGCACCTGACTTATTTCAAGCCATTTTGGGAACGTATACACCTGAAAGGAAGCCCTGAATCTCTGGGTTGTTTTGCTTTATGCCTTGCCTAGAACTACCAGGAGCAGAGAGGAAAGTCTCCAAAGCAACAATGCAGAACAAAGGGTTAAGGCTGTGGGCCAGTCGAAGAGTGAACAAACTTGCCCATCTTTTCTTCAAGAATGCCTGACTTCTTTCCTGTCTTCCCCTTGATTCACAGAGTGAGCAGTAGCAGTCAGAAGGCAGGAGGAGCCCAGGAGAGAGAATCTAGGAAGGAGCAGATAAAACCCGCAAAGAGGTAAGACTTTACCAATTCAGTTCAGCTTAATGGGCTCCAAGAGCCAAGACTCATGCTTTCTCTTCCTTCCTTTTTTTTCCCCTTTCTTCGCTGACATATATACATTCATATGTAAGAGCCTCAGCACCTCAGGTATAGTTTTAAGGCCTAGTTGAGCTGGAATTGCTTAACCTTGTATCAATTAATACATCTCTGGTATGGTACTTTTCAGAGTGTTGGGATGGGGACTTGGGTATCCCAATGAAGGAGGAAATGGTTCATACCCTTTGGAAGTTTTCACTCTGATGGGAGAGACAATGTTTTATTAAGCACCACTTGCATGCAGGGCATTGTGCTCGATGCTGAGTCTACAAAGACTAAAATGAAATGACCCCCACCTTAAAGTAGCTTACATGCTACTGAGGCATGGGGGGGTGTGGTATAACAAAAACAGAGAAGTATCATATGAGGTACCTTGAGGAATGACAGAGATCTCTAACAATTGGGAGGAACAGGGAAGGCTTTAGGGCGGAGAGATAACAACTGAGACGAGCATTAGAGGAAGGGAAAAGATTCAAACTAGCAAAAGGTGTAATTAATTGCAGACATGGGAGTTAACTTATGATAAAGTATAGAACCCTCTGGTCCAGCAATATCACTGATAGGTTTGTATCTCAAAGGGGTCAAAGGAAAGGATCTATATGTACAAAAAATTTTTATAGTAGCACTTTTTGTTGCAGCAAAGGGCTGGAAACAAAGTGTGTGCCCATCAACTGGGGAATGGTTGAACAAATTATGTCATAGGAAAGTAATGGAATATCATTGTGCTATATAACATGATGAAAAGGACAGATTTGGAGAAACCTGGAAAAACTTGTGTAAACTGATGCAGAGTGAAGCAAACAGAACCACTAGAATAATTCATACAATGACTACAAAATTTTAAGGGAACACAACTTTGAAAGACTTAAGAATGCTGAGCTATGCCTTAACCAATCCTGATTTCAGAAGATAAATGATGAAGCAACTCTTGGGAGAGAGATGATTGACACACATCAGCTATGGCCAATTAGTGGCTTTGTTTTGTTTTACTTTGTATAGCACATATAGGCCCTAGTACTATTCTCCCCAGTTTGTTCTAGGGGGTTGGGTTCTCAGAGTTTAGGGGCTATCCTCAGAGTCTATGGGTAATGCTGAGAGATTGGGGTGGAGGGGGATATTTTGCTAGTACTATATCTCACAAACCCTCACCAGTATGCTTTCCTCATTGATATTTAGTGATATCAACTAGCCAGCCACATTTGATTAGCTTTTAGAAACAAGTATTAACTATGATGTTATAGTTGGTACAACACAACCCCCCAAAAGTCTGTGACACACTCTTCCAAGCATCCATATAGAGTCTTGGGAGAAGTGGGTTCAAGCCTAAAGAGAAGGGGGGGGTGCAAATGGGTAGCTTGGGGCTCCTGGTCTCTGGCAGTCTTTTTTTACATTTGTAGGGGTTCCTATGGAGTTGCCATTGTGTATAGTATTCATTTTTCTACTGAACTCTTTGTAAAACCTTGAATCTGCCTTTCCTTATCACATCTGGTCTGTCCTTGCCAGAGACTGTCATCAGCCATTCCAAGGATGTTACTAGGACAACAATGAAAAATCCAAATCCTCTGACCTTCTAAAGTTCACAGTTATCCTTCATCAAGGGACAGGAAGGGGGAAAGGGAGACCAAGACCTAAGCTAGAGTTTTTCCCTTCTCCGACCTCAAGTGGTGATACTTTTCCAATCTGCTGTTTTATAGACTACCCACAGGGTTTGACCACATTTCTTCAACCAATCCAATACAAGCTTCCTGCTCGTTTTCAATGCAACGTTATTCATCCAGTGGCTCCTTTTAGGAATTTTTGTATTTTATTTTGTTTCCAATCACATGAAAAAACAATTTTAACATTCATTTTTTTTAAATTGAGTTCCAAATTCTCTCCTTCCCTTTCCTCCTCCTCCTTGAGAAGACAAGCAATTTTATATCATGCAAAATCTATTTCCATATTAGCCATGTTGCAAAGAAAATACAGACCAAAACATAACCAAAAAAACCCCAAGAAAAATAAAGTTAAAAAGTATGCTTCAATCTGAATTCAGATTCCATCAGTTCTTTCTCTGGAGATGGACAGGATTTTCCATCATGAGTGCTTTGGAATTATCTTGGATCATTATATTACTGAGAATAGCTAAGTCATTCACAGTTGATCATCAGACAATATTACTGTTACTGTTTACAATGTTCTCCTGGTTCTGCTTCCTTCACTCTGCATCAGTTCATATAAATCTTTCCAGATTTTTCTGAGAGCATTATGCTTGTCCTTTTTTATAGGACAATCGTATTCCATCACAATTATATACCACAACTTGTTCAGCCATTTCCCAATTGATGTGCATCCCATCAATTTCGAATTCTTCGCCACCACAAAAAGAGCTGCTAGAAATATTTTTGTACTATAGGTCCTTTTACTTTTTAAAAAATCTCTTTGAGATACAAAACTAGTAGAAGTACTGCTAGGTCAAAAGGGTATGCAGTTTTATCGCCCTTTGAGTATAGTTCCAAATTTCTGTATAGAATGATTTTGGATCAGTTCACAACTCCACCAGCATTGCATTAGTGTTCCAGTTTTTCCATATCCCCTCCAACATTTGTCATTTTCCTTTTTGTCATATTAGCCAATGTGATAGGTATGAGTTGGTACCTCAGAGTCATTTTAATTTGCATTTCTCTAATCAATAGTGATTTAGAGCAGTTTCATATAACTATAGATAGCTTTGATTTTTTCTGAAAACTGCCTGTTCATATCCTTTGACTTATCAATTGGGGAATGACATGTGTTCTTATAAATTTGTCCCCAGTTCTCTATACATTTGAGAAATGAGGTTTTTATTAGAGAAACTTGCTGTAAAATATTTTCCCAGTTTCCTACTTCCCTTCTAATCTTGGCAGTATTGTTTTGTTTGTGCAAAAACTTTTTAATTTAATGTAATTAAAATTATTCATTTTGTTTGGTCATAAATTCTTCCCTTATCTTACAAGTGAAATTTTCCATGGTCCCCTAATTTGCTTATGATATTACCTTTTATGTCTAAATTATGTACCCATTTTGGCTTTATCTTTGTATACAGTATGATATGTTGTTCTATACCTAGTTTCTACCAAACTCCTTTCCAGTTTTCTCAGAAATTTTTGTCAAATAATGAGTTCTTGTCCCCAAAGCTTGGATCTTTGTGTTTAGCAAGCAATAGATTACTATGGTCGTTTACTCATGTGTATTGTGTACTACATCTATTCCACTGACCCACCAGTCTATTTCTTAGCTAGTACCAGCTTGTTTTGATTATTACCACTTTGTAATGTACTGTGAGATCTGGTGCAGCTAGGCCACCTTCCTTCACATTATTTTTTCATTGATTCCCTTGATATTCTTGACATTTTGTTTTTCCAGATGAATTTTGTTATAATTTTTTCTAGCCCTGTAAAATAATTTTTGCTTGCTGGATTGGTATGGCACTGAATAAGTAAATTAATTTAGGTAGAATTGCCATTTTTATTATATTGGCTCAGCCTACCCATAAACAATTAATATTTCTCTAATTGTGTAGAGTTGACTTTATTTGTGTGAAAAGTGTTTTGTAATTGTGTCCATATAGTTCCCGGGTTTGTCTTGGCAGGTAGACCCTCAAATATTTTATATTGTCTACTATTATTTTAAATGGAATTTCTCTTTCTATCTCTTCCTACTAGACTTTGTTGGTAATATAGAAATGCTAATGATTTATGTGGGTTTATTTTATATCCTGCAACTTTTCTGAAGTTGTTAATTATTTCAGCTAATTTTTTTAGTTGATTCTCTAGGATTCTTTAAGTATACCATCATGTCATCTGCAAAGAGTAATAGTTTTGTTTCCTCATTGCCTATTCTGATTCCTTTAATTTCATTTTCTTCTCTAATTGCTATAGCCAGCATTTCTTTCTGTCCGTCTGTCTTTCTTTCTTCCTTCCTTCCTTTCTTTTTTTTTTAAAGCAGTTGGGGTTAAGTGACTTGCCCAGAGTCACACAGCTAGTGTCAAGTGTTTGGTCTGTGGTCAGATTTGAACTCAGGTCCTCCTGACTTCAGGGCCAGTGCTCTATCCACTGCGCCACCTAGCTGCCACCTAGCTGCCCCCTATAGCCAGCATTTCGAGTACAATGTTGAATAATAGTGGTGATAATGGGCAACTTTTTTTCACCCCTGATCTTATTGGGAAGGCTTCTAGCTTATCCCCATTATAGATAATGCTTGCTGGTGGTTTTAGAGAGATACTACTTATCATCTTAAGGAGAGCTCCATTTATTCCTGTGCTTTCTGGTATTTTTAATAGGAATGAGTATTGTATTTTATCAAAAGCTCTTTCTGCATCTATTGAGATGATCATATGATTTTTGTTGTTTTTGTTACTGATATGGTCAATTATGCTGATAGGTTTCCTAATATTAAACCAGCCCTGCATTCCTGGTATAAATCCCACCTGATCAGAGAGTATCATCTTTGTAACATATTGCTGTAATCTCCTTGCTGGTATTTTCAATTGAAAAGTTTTACATCAATATTCATTAGCAAAATTAGTCTATAGTTTTCTTTCTCTGTTTTTGCTTTTCCTGGTTTAGGTATCAGCACCCTATGTGTTGTAAAAGGACTCCTTCATCTGTTTTTTCAAATAGTTTATATGGTATTAGAATGAGTTGTTTGTTAAATATTTGGTAGACTTCACTTGTGAATCCATCTGGTCCTGGAGATTTTTTTCTTAGGGAGCTCATTGATAGCTTGTTCAATTTCTTTTTCTAAGATTGGGTTACATTCTATTTCCTCTTCTGTTAACCTGGGCAATTTATATTTTTGTAAATATTATCCATTTCACTTAGAATGTCAGATTTATTGGCATATATTTGGGGAAAATAACTTCTAATAATTGTTTTAATTTCCTCTTCATTGGTGGTGAA